GCGTGACTTTTTGTTTTATCTCGCTTGCTTGTATTGCTCTAAAAAACAAAATACATGAGTTTGTCTGATATGCTGTTTTCTCAAAAAATCCGAAAAACGTTGTCAGAAATTTTTTTACATCATTGCATGTTATCTATACGCTACTACTAGTTTTTTTCATTTTCCTTACGTGTTGTGTCCTTACATAAGTATGAGTGTGCTTTATTGCTCACAATTCTATTGCTTTTTCCGTGACAGCTGATAAAGTGGTAAGCTTACGAAGAATACAATGATTGGAAATTTTAATAGTAAAACTTTTCATTGCTATTTTGTACCACATGACCCTTATACTGGGGACAGGCGATCAGATGTTTCTGAACACAACAAGCTATGGGAAGAGTGTTTACCAACTATAAAACCGTTGGGTTTTAACGTCTGGTTGACCATGTGTTAGGGTTATCATTATCCCAGTAGGAGGGGAGTGGGCTGTATCAGTAAGTAGCTTGTCGAAATGAATAGTCCCTTAAGTATTCGACATTTATGCTGACCTCATTAGTTTTGATGGACACACTCTAGCTGAAGGTGCTCGGTCACGCATCCTCACCACATCACAAGTGGATATGCCGTGCTACGCATTCACTGAAATTGTTAACCAGCTTAGACAAAAGGTTTCCCGACATATCGATTCCCTTCCAAATATATCTACGAACCACTTCATTTTTGACTTCTGACTTGACTGTTTTGTTATACTTAACTTATAAAGATGTTGCAAGTAAAAGTGTCAAACTTAAATACCTGTGGTATCTTATTTTTATCAAGCAATTGGTATTCCAAGGGTTGAAAACAAGAGAATTACTTGGCCCTATTATTCTTAAGCCTGTTGTCTGAGTAACATGTCTCTTTGCGGTAACGTAGATACATATGGACTCAGTTGGAGAGAAATATGAGAGGAAACGACTTAGTAGTGATATGCTATGATCTCCCCAACAGAATCAAGTGGCATTTAAGCATGACGCTGAGAATGATACACGGTAAGGATGAAGTAGTAAAACAAGTAGAGTAGAGGATGAAGAGGGTGATCTTGGTAAACGAAATGAAAACTGTTTCTTCCTCAGGGTTTAGATAGTAGGAAGTTATTAGGGTCTCTAAACGTACTGGTGCGAGTTCCAGGAATAACGTAGTTGGTTGTGCATTCGGGCGTATCTCCGTAAGCCATGAAGTCTGTCAGTTTTCCAAGTGTTTGTTCCTGATTTTTGTTGACTGCTTGTGATGCCCTGAATTAGTGCCGCCAATTTGATCGTCTGTGGAAAGAACCAATGTTATTTCGGTCAGGATCGTTGCAAGAATAAACGAAAATATTCGACTGAGTAAAAACCGTTGTACTGGATATATTATAAATACCACTGTGTTTTGGATGCATTTGCTTTACTCAAATTTTAAATTTGTTTGTTCATAACTTTAGCCTCATATGTTTTGCTTTCAGTCTGCTTTTGGTTTGGTATTTGAGAAGTGTTGCTCTGGAAATCTAAAAACTGAAATCCTATTGCTTGTAATATACGACTAAATTTTGGCACCTGAATCGGAATTCCGTTCTACTGTTATTTGGGGTTGTAAGTTGCGAGTGAATCAATCAACTGTGCTTCAATAACGGACTAGAGCAAAAATTGGACGTAACACTATGAACTGCCATTGCGCTTTCGTTGTATTATTTTGGACAGTTTCCAATCAGACCTTTTTACTATACGGTCTCACTTCAAACTCCTTTTACATAAATTTATGATTTTATTCAATCACCTAGATTCATTGTTTTGTCAGGACGTTTTAAGGGTGATTTGGGAGCCGATGAGCAGTTATTGATCTACCAATCTCAACCTAATACTTTATGACTACTCTCTTGCTCAACATGCACTTTATAAAATCCCTAGACTTATGCAAATTAAAAAACTTTTAATTGTCACTTTCATGATCACTCATATTAACTTAAATGATGATCATCTGTGAATTTTGTGTGATTTACTCAGAATACTATCGACCCCTATTCAGCTTCACAATCATAGGCATAAAAACACTTAAACGTGCTTTGTTTAACGTTCAATTAACACTAATCTAAACTTTCCCAAACCTGTTGGAATACTGTACAAACTATGAAATCACTCATATTAATGCGTTGAATTACATGTTATCAAATCCTAAGTAGTTTCTTCACAGTCATTATATGTGTAACGCTTGTTTTTTGAATAATAATAACAATGAGTCCAAGAAAAGCAAAAAGCATACGTTATATTTAAAATAACATATACTGCGATGCCTAGGAAATGAATGTTCACCAAAACAAAATCCAATAACAGAAAGACTCATAACCTAGTAAATTTGATAAATTTGAAAGTAAATGTGATAATAACTACAGTGATACTCATTTTATAGGTGGCTCTAAATGGCATTAAAACGCCTAAATTAGATCTCATCATCAGGCATGTCACCAGGTATTGTAACTCCATCATGGATGATGCATTGAGATATTTACTTGTACAAAGTAGGCAGACATTCGAATAAAACTCGGTGCCTAACTGAAAAGATAATTAATTTTATAAATAAATTATTGATTTAAGTTAACATTAGATTTGAATGACTACTAAAGTCATCTAGAATGTACAGGATTCACTGAAATGTAATTAAAGTTATAAATTTGTTACAATGTATTATGTACAGACAAGATCTGAAGTATGGAAAGTATGGTGTTAATAATAACCTTATATTAGGTTGTAATCATGTGATCTAGTAGATCATTCTGCATGTATGTAAGCGTATGTATATAAAGACAGGTGAACTACTAACCTTAACAAATTTGGATAACAACTAGGAATAAAAAACTTATGGTTAAATTTTTTGAGGTTAAAACTTACCTACACAGCTGTATTCAATCAGATTTTATTAATGATATAAATTGCTTGTAAATATAAAAATTACCACAACAAATTACCTATACTACTGTATTATCTAAGACCTTTAACTAAGATCAGTTCGTGATTTAAAAATACGAAAATTCAGCGATCCCCACAAACCTCCCCATACTAATAATGACCCTGTACTCACTAGTGAATAGCTTCGGGATACAACTCCTCAAGTTCTGATAAGGATACATGACCAGTGGAATCAGACTATGTTGAGTATGGAAAAATCACCTACCACAGGCAATAGATGAAAGTTGTGGAACATCGTAAACTGATCGAAGTTAGATATTAACACCGTTGGATGACGGCTTAGTGGTTCAAAGATTAATCGTTCGCATGCGAGATTGAAGGCCCTTGGTTCCATTCCTGAATACGTGCTTGTGGATGTGCACTGCTGAGAACAGCAACGCAATCACGCTTGATGGAGAAGCTCGGAAAGAGGTCGAACCTTTCACGTAACTGGACAATATCATCAATGAGCAAGGAGGATCTGATGCAGACGTAAAGGCGAGGATTGGCAAAACAAGGACCGCATCCCTACAATTGAAGAACATATGGGATTCAAAACAACTGTCAACCAATATCAAAGTGAGAATCTTCAATACGAACGTCAAGACAGTTAGTTCTACTGTACGGAGCTGAAACGTGGAGAACTACTACAACCATTGTCAAGAAGGTACAAGTATTTATAAACAGTTGTCTACGCAAAATACTCAACATTCATTGGCCGGATACCATCAGCAACAGCATTTTATGGGAGAAGACAAACCAGCTTCCAGCTGAAGAGGAAATTAGGAAAATACGTTGTAGGTGGATCGGACATATGCTACGGAAATCATCAAACTGAATCACGAGGTAAGCGCTAACTTGGAATCTGGAAGGGAAGAGGAAAAGAGGAAGGCCAAAGAACATATTAGGCTGGGAAATAGAAGCAGATATGAAAAGGATGAACAGCAACTGGAAAGGATTGTTTGCGACAGGGTTGGATGGAGCATATTGGTGGACAATGGTTTTAATAAGAAGCTTTCATTATTGCAGGACACATTAGGCAGGCATGAAAGTTGAAAACTAACCATCCAGAGAAAGAGATTCATTTCATGTTTGGTTGTGCTCTGATTTGGTGGCGTTTCTTGATCAAAGGCCTTCAGTTAGTAGTGACATTAAACCTAGAAAGTTAAGAATCAATGTTAAGTGTTGGCAGAACTGTTTGCAGAACGTCCAGCGCTTCCAGGTTTTCCATATGTCTAGCTTCAACTGACTCATGATTTCAACTGTAGAACTGTTTACTTTGGAAATGGTTTCAAAACTAATACCTTGACTATGTTGACAGACCTTACATGGTATAATGCTGAATAAGGATACCAGATCTACGTCTCCACAAGGTTTTCGATCCAGACGTTGAAGAACATTTCAGTTTATGTAGTGCGCGGATACTGTATTATACTTCATTTAACACTACGCCAAATAAAGTTTTTCCTGTTAACATGCCAAACAGCTGAAATTAGTCATTGATGCCGAAAAGTCATCTAAACATGTTCAAATTTATTACAGTATCAGCCCGAAACATAGGTCTCTCGAAAAGACACACGTGTAGTCGATTAAACTATTTGCTTTTAGTTACGATTCTAAGGTTGTCTTAATCTGAAACTTGTGTTGTAGCTTATTGTTATCTACTGCTTTCAGTAACAAATGTGAGTGAATTGTGTGTGAATGCTGGGTTGTTTACTCGCCTTATACTTTGTTCTTTTCTTTTACAGTCCTTGTCAAGCTACTCTGTATGCTACCTAGGTACATTATGAACCACTCAGCTTGACACAAACTCCTACAACATAAAGTTAATTTGTAATGCTCAATCAAATGGATACCTGTTCATCTATAGAGGCTCAAAATTTTAAATTACATTTGAATTTACTCAGTATATCTATCTATCTATCTATCAATCAGCAAACTCACCTATTGAACATAATTTTTGTAGATGTCAAGAGCGTTCGGTTCAAAAGGCGCGTCATTCCGCACGGTGTAAGAACCTTGTGGAGACCACTCACCTCTAGTTTCGTGACAATCGGTGTCATGGAGGGTGTAGCAATTCAGACCGGATATAATAGAAATAGAGTCACTTCTGTTTTGAAGCCTGATGAATATAAGAACTACGGCTTCCCTCTTGGACAAAGTTTTAAACTAGAAGACATACCATGGAAGTCAACGGAAAAGGAGTACGATTTCGGTGTCATTGGGTAAATAGTATTTATCTCTTACTGTCCAGGTTGCATGCAGAAATAAAGGACTTCCTGAACTACATATCACCGAGTCCAGCAGAACAGTTTGCTCGTGAAGTAGTCGTTGCAAAGGTTAAGGACATTGTGTATAGTCTCTGGCCAAATTGCCAAGTAGTTAATAAGTTGATGATTGATATCGGTTATAGGTTGATGTCTTCGGAAGCTTTAAGACGGGCTTGTATCTCCCCACAAGGTTTGTCCGTATTTTTGTAACATACTTGTTTCAGTGACATTGATATGGTCATATTCGGGAAGTGGGACGCCTTACCTCTACATACTTTAGAACAAGCTCTGTTTAAAAGTGGCATTTCATCAGAAATCAAGGTTTTGGACAAGGCCACAGTTAGTTGCTTACCGGCCATTTATATTCTAAATTTCAGGTACCTATTGTAAAGATGACGGATAAAGAAACAGAACTTCGGGTAGACATCAGCTTTAATATGATTAATAGTGTCAAAGCGGCTGAGCTTATCAGAGTTTTCATGAAAAGATATCCATGCCTACCATGTCTGGTGTTTGTGTTAAAGCAGTTTTTGCTTCAACGAAGCCTAAATGAGGTATGGACTGGTGGATTGAGTTCATACGCGCTCATATTAATGTGTGTTAGTTTTCTGCAGGTAAGTCAAAATTTCTTAACATTTAGTCTAAAAAAACTAACAAAAAGTTGCTCTAAGGACTTGCCACTAATAAAGGTTTCACTCTAACACTTACCATATCTTTGTAACGATTGACACCAGATTTTATCGTTTTATAGAAAGCGTGATTAGTGTAGCATGATTAAAAGCAGTTGGTTTCTGCGTGCTACTTCGTGCGGCCTTTTTTGATTATCCGAAGTATGTAGTGTATCGTGTATTAATAGTACAAAATTCTGAGACATGTTCAGTGAGCTTCTAGTCTCTATGTTACTTAGTATTCTAAAGTTTTCCGTCGTTTATGTAGTTCGTAAAGTCCAACTACAAAATTCGTCTGTGAATTTAACCCAACATCTTTCTAGGTTCTCAAAATAGATCACCAGAAATCCATCTCAAAACTTGTACTTACACATTCATGAGCAAGCCTATTATATAAACTAGCACACAAGTTTTTACAATAAAGCTGACTTAACAAATTCGTTTCTTTCTTAAAGCACACACTACTCCCGGAAATCTCTGTTGATAACGTCAATTTGGGCATTCTATTGGTCGAGTTCTTCGAGCTTTATGGTCGTCATTTCAATTACAGAAATACAGCTATTCGCATCACAAATGGTGGGTGTTATGTCCGTAAGGAAGTTGTCCAACAAAATATGGAGAGAGGTTTACGTCCATCGCTTCTTTGTATTGAGGATCCGCTCTGCCCTGGTAAGTATCACGCTATATTAACTGTTTTAACAGATGTTATTGCCCTTTACTTGATTTACCAGATATCAGAACTAACACCGCTATCTAACAACCTTTTTTTGTTTATTTGTGATCTTTAAGGTTTGCAACAAATACGTAGATTAATCACATCCACAAATTTCGTCTTATGAGATCGCTTAGTCGTACATAGATTTTATGCACTAAAAATTTTGATCTCAGCTTAACTACTTTGGTAAAACTGCCTAATATACATCCAGTACTTTTTAAATATGTCCTCAAAATACAAAGAGCGTATATATTAACTGTGAGGATGTAGGCAGTTAATAAACCACTATTGGACATCAACTAAGTTGTATTAACAACGTATAGTCGAAATTATTCTTGAGTATCAAGAATTTTTAGAAATCGGGACAGAAAACTCGGATTTGCACACTAAATGTATTTTATTTGATAACAATAAAGTTAAGAATCAAGTGATCAGGTCATGAGACATTCGGTTGATCTAGCCGTAAATATTCATCGACTAGTTAGTAGAATGTGTTTCATCCCAAATCATCAACGTGGCTACCGTAGGAGTCAGTTATAGAAGGTAGGAACAGCTGAATGAATTCGTTTACAAAGTCATTGGCTTTTTCAGATTTCTTGGTTGTGTCTCAGACGATAATTGTTTTTAGTCGTTATTAGTTGGCTAAATTTAAACACATTTCTGCTTGCACTATCTGTGTGGGTGTTCCCGGTTTTTATGTGAAAAGACCTACATCTATCGAATTAAAAATCCGATTGTTTTAGGAGCCTCAAACAAGAAATTACTAGGTGTCACCAAATCGAATAGCCCATGCTTTATATACCTGTTTATGAAAATCAGATAACATTTTTGTTCCAATACACCTAACGCTCAACTTGTTTGTAATTGTCGTCAGACCTTGATAATGACATTTACTTATGCATATTCTTGACATCATTTTTCGTGTTTTTTTCCCGACAAATTTAAGCATCACTCAAAAGATTGACTGAAATGGAATTCTGCGTTAAAATATATCGATCTAATGTAAAATGTACCAGCAACAATAAAAAAAACAATTTAATAATGTGACAGGAAATACATGTACAATAACTGGTTCATAATTACAAAAGAGCAAGTAGTTAACGCGTCAGTAGCAATAGTGGTGGGTAATCTTAACGCTTAAGTTGGTAAACTCAACCAAACCGAAAGACATTTAGGCAGATCTTGAGATATTGTGATTCAGCGAACTGACAATGGCAACAGTCTGTTTCAAGTATGCTCAGACAGCCGCCTTCTAGCACACACCAACTTTAAGCATATGGCGAGATATCGTCTTAAGTGGCGACACCCACAATCAACTCGTCGATGGATAAATAGATCATGTCGTCTTTAGCAATCGTTGGAGGGGCTCGATAGGAGACTGTCGCTCATTCTGGAACATACTTTTAGACTCCGATCATGTAATTGTCTGTGTCTTGCTGGACGTAGAGAGACCACAATAAAAAAGCCTTCAACTTAATGATGAAGTCAGTAACACATTTCAGGAACAAGTAGAGGAGTTAGTCAACTGGGAAAGTGATATCCACTCCTGAAGCACGTTAGTATGATATCCAAAAAGCTGTGGAAAAACAGTAATATATTCTAGTAACTAAAAACAAAGGTCAGTAAAAATCGGTGGGATTTCAGTGGCGTCTACAGAATTAATAGATGCTCGGAAACGCATTTCATCTGGTTCCGAATACGCTGAAGTACAAAGGCAACTTAAACGTAGGCTGATACAAAGCCTACCTAGTAATCGTTAGCAGTGGTGGATGGGAAAGTCAGAAGAGATGGAAAAGGCGGTAGCGATAGGTAATGGTAGACAAATGTTCGGAAATGGCTCTTAAGAATTCGGCTGTTAGTGAAGCCATCTCGGAAAAAGACTGAACTACTATTCACTGTCAATCCAGAAGATTGAATCGATGGGCAAAAAACTACGTAACAGTTTCACTGGCTTTTACCCTTATCTCAGTTACCCAAAATCTCCAAGCTACCTGAATGGCAAGTCGATGTAAGTCCTCAAACTCCTAGTAAAGTTGAAAACGCTGTAGATTGTCTATTTAAAGTTAATCAGTAGGGTCTGATGGATTAACCCTTAGTATTTTAAGGATAGTAATCTAGTTTCAGCAGTTAGGATAACTGAAATCTGGAAACTGGATTCAATTCCACATGACTGGTCTCGATCGTTGATCGTCCCAGTTTATCAGAAACAACAAAAATCCTCTTGTGACAATCACAGAGGAATCAGTTAAGCTTATACAGTGTCTAAAATAATACTTTGACGTTTAACTAGAGCTCGTGAAGAGCGAACCCGAGTAAACCGATCTGGTTTAAGATTTGGACGTTAATGTCTATACCAAATATTCACCAACCGGCAGATTCTGAAACATAAGTGTATCCCTTGACCGTAAGGCAGCATTGGACTCCGTTGATCGTGAGTTTCTGTAACAATATCTGGCTGATAGGCATCCCAAAGAGGTTCGTGAACCATGTACATACTCTTTACTCGAGCGCTACTAGTCGAATCAACTAATAGCGAACTGTCAATAAAATTAGTTACTTCCAGTGATGTTCGTTAGGGTTGTCCGTTTTCCCCATTTTCATTTAGCGTTTTCATAGACATACTTTTAGAGACAACACTCATCGTTTGACTCTCCACAGCTTCATCTCCTAATAGGAGATTCACTTGTTGACCCAGGTGATATCGTCCTGTTTGGTGAAGACACTGACAAACAACAGTTTCTCAACCACCTTAAGCAACATTCCAAGCATGTTTAGGATAAGGTTTTCTCCCTCGAAAAGTAGAATGTTATTATTTTAAAAAAAGAATAAGACCGTATCCGATTTGTTGTGGTCTTCTGTCCGGCTTTTTATCGCGTGATTTATCCACCAATCGAAATACGACTTGTCTACACTGTGCCAAACTAATGACGTTCGACTGGGACGAGCAGTCTAGTGTCCTTATTGGTCCCTTGTCCGTCTAGTCCTCCCAATTGAGTCCAGAACACCAATTGCAGCTTCTGCCATGCGAATTATTTATTTCAAGAATACTCGGTTTATATACCAAACAGACAGACAGCATCACTCATAAAATAGGAAATAATAATCAAGTCAAATGTGGCTGTGAACGTGGGAGACAATAATCAATAAAATGAATATAATTTAGGTACAGTGATTCGTTTAATAATAATCCATAGGTCGAAACGAAGCCTGTAATAAGATGAATATAGATATACATAATCTAATCACTCAATAATTAAACAATAAGAATGTATATAGAATAATCGTCCAATTATAGGTCCCGGAAGTTACCCGTACTCATGTGTTGACTAGGATATAACAAATGTCACTTCAGAATTGGTTTGCGTCATCGCCTGCCGCTTAACGTATTTTGAGAGTCTCGTCAATCCCGACGGTATAATGTCTGACAGAATCTGCACGGATTCAAGAAGCTCTATCGTTTTTCGCCAACTTGAGTCACCTGTGGAGTAGGTAAGATATCCGTCTTTTAGCCAAAAAGCGCGTTTGCTCTTCAGCAATTCGTTCTCTTCTACTTTATGGGTGCGAAACGTGGCCATTAAAAGTAGAGGATATTCGTAGGTTTCACACTTGTGTAATTGCTGTTTTTACTTTGAAATATCAGAAAAATCACTTGGTCATTTTAACTCTTTTTTTCTGTTTCAAAATGTCGGGTAGAAAAATATTAGGTTGGCAAAAATATTTTCAAATGACCAGTGGGAGTCGAAGATTTAAACGATACTTTATATTGTTTCTATTTTTTAAGATGTATTTTGATTTGAAATTTTTTCACAGGTAACGATGTTGGTCGTCGATCGTATTGTGCACTTCAAATTAAACAGGCTTTTGAATATGCCTACGTTGTTCTTAGTAGTGCTGTACTTCCTCAGTATCATTTCCTGCACTGCAACACTGATGTTTCAATACTTGGACGAATCATTCGTATTTCCAAAGTAAACGAGTTTTTTTTTAAATAGTTTCTATACCACTATTTTGCTAGCCCGCTAAAAATCAATTCCCTCTTGGAAGCATTATATCAGTAATTGTTGCGAAAAATCTATTGAGTTCTGTCTAATTTTTTGAAACACCTCTCCAATGTGCAAGGAATAAAGTGGAAACGATTCAAAACAGCTAGAATAAGAATAAATTTCTAAATAAAGTTCAGCAATTTTAGCCAGACTAAACCAGTTGCGGAAATTAAAATTACCTATTTTACCCTTTGATACTACTTAGACCTGGTTAAACATATCAGTGGATTTTCTGTGAAGACTATTTGTTCTTAACTCTTCAGGTGCAGATTCATGTACTTGACTTTGAACTACGCTCAAAGTGTAAGTCCTAGGAATGCTACCTGGTTGCTCATACCGAATTAGGTGAAGCGCAGTTCAAAACTGGACACTACAATCTTTTCAAAAACCTAATAGAAAGGATCCATATTACATCAAATGTAATTCAACTGCCGATTTTAGTTAGATATTGTATCATGTTAGGAATTGTTGGTCGCATAGCTGAAATCCTCCTGTTCTACTAAATAATGCCAGTATTTACAAATTAGATGTTCCCTTAGGTTTGTTAATGGAGGGGATAAGGATTTTATGCTGTATCCTTCAAAGTGAACATTTTGTGATCTGCATCCACTACGCTATAATTTTAAAAATTCAGACTTGTGCTTCACTGAACTGGTTTCTAAGCTGTCGCAGTCTTAATATTGATATTAACTTTTCAGAGGGAGATCAGTTTACTATGTACCATATGCCTTAAAAATTAGTCTTGTGTTTAAAATTATTTGTTCTAGGTCTGCAAAAAATTTCTGATTAAATCATGTTTAAAATAGGTACACTTAATTTTCGTTTTGTCTTATCCGCAGTATTAAGTGCAACATCTACCGCTAATGGTCTCAAAAACAAATATTTCTTAAAAGACTGGTTAGTTGAATAGACACTGAATAAATGTTTTTTAAATCGCGAAAGGAAAAAGGGACCAAAATATATGGTATAGCACGTTTTCAGAGTCTTTCTAAGGTTTCCAACCTTCAGTCTGGAAATTATCATTAAAACTAGTCGCCTTCTATTTTGGGATAATCTTCGGAAAGAAACGTCACTCATTTCGTCTTCTCGAATAGTTATGTTAATGTTTATATAGTTTTTACAAATGGAACGAAGATGATAATCAAATAACCAAGTTTCGTAGTGTGTTGTGGGACGTTTATCAGCTAAACCTTTGGGATTTCAATAATACAGTACATCCCTCAATTCTTGTTACCATAGTAACTTTGGTGTCAGCTGCGAACAATCTTACTTAGAAGCTATCTTTGAATTTGAATAAGATTCTTCAAGTAGTTGACTTAATTACTGCTGCATTATGTATTCAATATTTCCTTATCGTTGTAAACTATGACTCTTCACAACAGTCAATCTCGCTAGCTTCATTGTCTAGTTTGTGTGTGTCGACTTGGTTTTCTGTATTTACGAGATAAATTGTCTTTAATTTTATGTAAAACAAGCTTCATTTCTAACCTATTTTATGGTTTTTGCATACATGTTTTTCCAAGTATTATTTCCAATGTTGTCACCGGTGTTAATCATTTTGGAATGATTTTTCAAAACCTGTAGAAGTCTCTTGAATTCCGTCAGAGGATCCAAGATTATGCTCATCATCTACGTGCTTCACTCCCAGTAAATACAAAAATGTTGCAGGGGAGTGTAAGTAGCAGATCTCAAAATTTCATCCTTCCATCGAGTCCTTGGGTCTCACAGTCCAACTTGAACACAGTCAGTAGAATCGATTATACACAACCATCATCTGCAGAACAAAAAACTACTTTTTCTGTGCATTCCAATTTACCTGTTGTTCCCAGAAATGAACAACTTGATTTACCGATTCTTGTTTGGCAATCGAGTCCCAGTGTTAATACATCCCAAGCACCAAAGCTATCCGGTGCACAAGATGACTGTGTTGCCGATGACAATACTTCTCGGTCACAAATTAATTTCTCAGCAAAAAAACCTGTCAGCATTTCTAGTTCTGACAGCTATAACGAGCATATTGAAATGATTAACTCCGCTACTTCAAGTGATGGAGACTATTGCAATACTAATGGCGAATCCGATGTTGAAAAACCTGGAGAATACAGCGTACTAGCGGATGAACTGTAAGTTAAACACTTGAAATTTTGTATTACTTTAATGAAATGTCTAGTCGATTGTCATCTGAAATACAATCGTTCATTAATATTTCAGATCACCTGTACTATTTTCACATTCTGTTAGACTATTTGTTATCTTTGCTCTAATTTTTACAACACCCCCAGTTTTAACCTGTCGAATTTTTCAGTAAATATGAAATGTACGTTTCTTAGGTAACTATTACCATGTTTCTAACTAGTAATTGTAGTTATAGATAATTATTAGAATACCTCAACTACTACTATGGTATGGTCAGGCTGTTAGTCAATCTGAAGAACCGCTCAATAAAGTAACCAACTGTATTTTAACAATCACTAACTAAATTTCTGCTGTGAAGATTACAAATATATTTGTCAATCTAATTTCTGAAAGTTCAGGAAATTTCTTTTAAGGTGTTTCTTCATTATTTATGAGACATCAACTAGAGTTACGACCAACTCGTTTTACGGTTAGGCTACTAATTTATAACAGATATTTGGAAAATGACCCATTTTTGACAACATTAAGAATTTAATTTTGCTTATACAGTCGTTGCGTGCCTTATATATCTTTATGATAATGCTGCAATTAATCCCTAGGATTTTTCACCATATTTTTTAGTGCTTCCCTAACAACATTTAACCAAATAGAGAAGAAAAACATTTTAGCCCCAATAGTTAACACTAATTCGTTAAAATCTTCAGAGGTTACTTTCAGAAAACCCCATCAAGGTCGTAAAAGACGCTGTTTACGGGTATTAACATCCTCCAAGTCCAACGCGGGTAACTCTTCAAATCAGCAGCCAGCGAATCTCCGTGATGACTGCATTGCATCTATGTACCCAAACACACAAGGTGTCGCCTTTTCGGGCCAAAGAACAAGTTCCCAAAACCATGTTCACGGAAAAAGTAACATATTTTGTAAATCATATGAAAAACCACATCAAAGTGCCTTGCTTTGTTTCCCAACCTCTGTTGGATCTCAAGTTTCGCGCCCAAGTAATTCGGGCTGTAATAGTTTTTCCCGTTTATCTCAAGCACAAAAACGTCATGCAACAGCTTCTAGACGCTCAAAGTAGACTGCGATACAGTTTTGTACATAAATTCATATTTATATATACTTACCTGTTAAATTTTCAGTTTATTTCCTACCTAATTTATGTGTACATATCCCATTAATTTATCTATCTTCAGTTTTTTGAAAACATAAAAAAGTCACCCAAATTTTGTTTCGATTATTTCGATCGTAATTCTTCTATTCATATTATAAATGGAGAATATATATTAAACAGACTCTTGTGTCTAAACTAGATTTTTTAGAGTGAAGTGAAGCGAGCTATGTACCCAGTTATGTAAATAATAAGCATTTTGCAAAACTGGTAAATCCTCTTATTGCTTATTCCATATTTTGCGAGTACTTTTTTCTCGTTTTTCCCTACAAAATGCCTTTTTACCAATATGTGTATCTTCGTAACCTTTCGACAAAAAACAAAGGACAACACTGTGATTCTTTCGAATAGCTTTATTCGATCGCTTTACATATGTTCAGAGTTTCCATGTATATGTATTTGCAGACACGTCTCTAGATTTACCTGTATTTCGTTTTATTCAGTGTTAGAAATGAATAAAATCTGAAAGATCTATCTTTTTTTTCACCAAGCTTACTATTTACTGATTTCATTATGTTGCAAAGTAGTCGTTCGATATTCATTTATGCTCTATTCAGATTTACCACAGAAAATTGCGTTCCAAATTTATAAATCACTTGCTTTCTAGTTGCGTTAATGGGTTTTACCTTTCAACGATTGTATCTACTACATCACGTAAGTTGTGTCTATACAAATACACCAACCAGTATGGTAGAGGTATTGTCACAGATTACTTTCGCCAAAGTTGTTTCAATATTAGTCCAGTATTTGATCCAACTACTTAACCATGAGCCTGTTATCTTAAAATACGACAATATTAATCCCAAGGTTCCAATACATCATGTCGTCATTACATGTTAAAAATTATATTTGAAATAGTCTCAGCGATTGAAATTTGAATAATTTCAACGTTTCGTCCAGCTAACTTGTCTGGGCTTCTTCAGGGAGATAGTCTGTCGTGTTAGTTCGTATGTACCTAATCTGTTATTGATGAGAAAATAGGCACAGGTCTGAAGGGCAATATATTTGTTCGATGGATGTAATAGAGTGTAATCAATAAGCGTAAACGAGTTGCGCGAATGCATGGCGGGTTATCAAAATGATTTCAACGCCTAACTATATATTCAACCAGTTTAGTTCTTTCGAACTGACTGGTTAAGGAGATGAGCGGACTAGGTTTTCCTGACCTTTTTCATCTCATAACTTTTCGTCATATTATTCAGCAGTTTACTCGAAGTTTAGAGTGTGTATTTCGAGACACATGTAGCTTGAATTCGTGCTTTAATGCCTTGTTCTGGAGATGTCTCGGTAAAGTGAGTTTTTGAAATTGTCCTGCTAATTCTGTCCATTGTTTTGAATAAATGGAACGCCTTTATAAGATTATTATTGATAGTAATGTTCAATATAGAATTAACGATGTTTTATTGGAAGCTCGTGCATACATATTTCAAATATTGCTAACTGTGATGATCGAAAATCTCTCTAGCCAGGATAGATTTGTAAATCGTATCCAAAACGAAGTTAACTACTTGTCTTCCTATAAAAAAGCCAGAATGACACAAAATTGAGTCATCTCTATGAGTTATACCTGGTACAAATGTAAAATCCAACATATAGTTAACTGTCATGCATGTCAACTGAATGATCACATATTGATTATGACCGCTCAAACATTTTTCTCTTTCCACAAGGCTTACATTTCTGATTTATTGGTGTTGGACTAGTCAAAACGAAGTTATTCTGTAGCACCAGTTTCAGTTAAATGCGTATTTCATATTTTACCAGTAATCTTTAGTCCTAAAGTGGATTCGAGAAATCCGTCTATCAATTAAGGGACGAGTATAATGCGCAGCGGTTCGTTCTGTTTTACTTTATGGCTGTGAAACGTGGTCATTAAGAGTAGATATTCGTAGGCTACTAGTACTTGATCACGGATATCCTACAAATATTGCTCGCATCTGCTGGGGTCATCGAGTAAGTAGTAGTGAGGTTAGACGCAGGGTATAAGAGAATTATGGTAAATCAGTTGCAAAATTTTAATTTAAATCATGTATTTAGGGAAGGATTCTAAGCAAATCTGAATTGGAAACCTAATTTTAAGGGTATACTGAAAGTGGCCAAAACTCTCACTAGTAATCGGTAATTTGTAATTTCCTTTAACTTACATATCGACTTTTTTAATGGATCCGAACGACTAAAACCTAAATTCATAGCTAGTGATTCTCTCATATCTATCGCCATATCACCTAATGATCTCTAAATCAGACAGGACTATGAAGTAAAATAATATTTGCAATTACGTAAACTTTTTATTTTATTTAATCACATATATATTGGTACAAAGGGCACCGGATACATATGCGCCACACAAAATAGTGAGAATGGGAGGAGAAGGAAGATGTGTATATATAAAATAAGGAAAAAAAACAGAAGAGTAATGATGGGGGGAACTGAAATGTACAACCAGAAGACTCTTTCAGTTAAGAAAGTTAGAACCATTCTTTATGTAGAAAGTAAAAGAAGGTTGCAGCAGGATCGCCACTGGTTTCTATTCTGAGCCATATCTGATAACGTCTCTAGCCACTGTGTTGCACCATCTCTCGGACCCCAGCCAGGGAGTCGTGAAGGGCCAACAGAAGCTAGCCCTTTGCAGCTTTCTTTCATACCACGACACCATGTCATACACTGACCACCTCTCCGCTTTTTCCAACCACTCCCAGAGTCGGCAAATAATGCACGACGTGGATTTCTCCGGGACGACATTCGTAAAACATGTCCAAGCCACCGAAGTCGGTGTTTCAAGATGGTGACACCAAATGAATTATAGCCTCTGCGCCCGAACACACGCTGCCGAACCTCTGCATTACTAACATGGTGTTGCCACTGGATGTCAGCAATCCCTCGGAGAAAACGATGATCAAACACAGACGTCTAACATCCTCAACTCGGAGAGGCCAGGTTTCACAAACATAGAGCAAAACTGCTCTCACCGACGCGTTGTAGATCCGACCTTTTACAGCCAGACTAACATCACGAAGGCGCCAAAGATGGCCCAGATTGGCATAAGCCGCTCTGGCTTTCATTATACGTGCATCAATCTCATCACTCACACCACCACCAGCACTTATATAGCTACCTAGATACACGAACTTCTCAACTACTTCAATCTGCTCACCACCCAGGGTGAGTACAGGATGAGAATCCTGCCAGTCTTGTAGGAGTACTTCTCACTTGGAGGGTGCAAAGCACATACCCTACCTGCGGACTCTGATTGCCAACTGATTAAGTGCGGATTGCATGGCGTGGGCATTATCGCACCAGACTTCTTGCTGCCAGTAGCTCGGATGAGTTGGAAGAGCTTCCAGCAGTTACCAGATGCAGCTGCTGCTTCCATCTCCTTAGCACGCTCTTACCACCAGGCTTTTCGATCCTTACGCAAGCTTTGCTCAATTTCGTAGCGTAACAGCCTTCGTTTGTGGTCAAACTCACGGTCACCCGGAGTAGACCGACAGGCTTCGATCAGTTGTAAGGAGCCAGAAGATACCCAGTGCTTGTAAGCGGGACGTTTCGCGAAGCCGTAAGCGGTTTTACTCGCCATTTTCATGGCGTCATGAAGTCGCAACCAATGCTCATCTATACTTTTCGGTGGTGTGGTATCTAGCTCGGCTCGATACCTACTTGCAACAGAAGTTGCAGCCAGTTTACTAACATCAATCCGTTGATGGCGGTCAATCCTTCGGCCACTGAAAAGTAAGGTAAGATTGGCGCAGACCAGGGCATTATCAGAGTTCAGATAGGTACTCCAAAGGGAGCGGTAGTCCTGTACACAGCCACGCTAGCGGCAGCTGATCGCGATGTGATAAATCTGAGTCCAGGCTTGGGATGCACAGGGAGGACGCCAGGTGGCACACCGGCGATGACTGTGCCGGAAGTTAGTGCTAGCCAGAAACAGGTTGTAGTCTGTGCACGGTTGCAGCAAACGGTCTCCGTTATCTGTCCTGCGACCAACAAGTCCGCATCGGCCACCTAAACGACTCTCTTCTGTGCCTAGACGCCCGACCTGAGCATTCAAGTCTCCCGCTAGTACTACAATATCTGTCGAACGCCCTTTCTGGATAAGAACAGTTAGTTGGTGGTAGAATTCATCCTTGATTGCGTCCGGACTGCAATATGTCAGAGTGTAGGCGGAGATGACAAAAAGACATCGTTCCTCACGCCGATTTCTTCTCACTTTGGTGGAGCTTTCTAATCTAACAACACATAACCGACTGTTAATGGGGATCCAGTCGATTAGTGCTGCCTCAGCTCTAGCGCTTAGTGCGACACCAACGCCGGAAAGACTAGACGAGGATGCCACAGGGTCCCCGGATAAACGCACGTGAAACAACCTTTTAGAAGCGACATATGGAGAGTGAATTTGTAGTACTTTACCAGAGTCTTGAATAATGGTCTCGGATAGACAGCAAACATCAACATTAAGACTTTCTAAAGACATAGCCAGCCCTATCTATTGTCTGATCTGCATTAGCGTGCGAACGTTGAAGAAAGCCAGTTTGAACGGCGTACGTGGTTTCAGAAAAACTGTTTCAGTATTCATATTCGGTGGAAGCATTCACTTTCGACCAGACAGTGATTGGAGATCGTTTAGATAGGACAGAGTTTCCACCATGGGCGAGCTGCTGCATAGGTTGAAAAATGGGGGTACATGAAGTGGGGATAAAAGGGGGTGAATTAGCGATATCGTAAATAATAATAATGCAAATTGTTTTGTTTCTAGTATGAGCGAGAATCGTGGATGCGCACTGCTGAGGAGTCCCATAATAGGACGAAACGGACGTCCAGTGCTTCCAGGTTTTCGATGGTGGTCTAGCTTCAATTGACCCATGATTTCAACTATGAGAATAGAATTGTCAGTTGAATGTATCATTTCA